GTTATCAACCCCTAGTAGGCAAGTCCCCACAAGGGCCATAGTCCTGCCCCCACTTGGCCTCCCCAGGGCTCAGACAGCAGCTGACAGCCTGCGGAGGTAGTCTCCCGCCAGGGGCAGCACGGCCCAGTCATCAGTCCGAAGGGCCACGGGTGCTCCATCTCCCTGGGTCGCCTCCAGCCGCAGCAGCAGCCTCGAGTTTGGGGGCAGGCGGATAGCTATACAGTAGCTGGTGGGGGGCTGGGCCACCACCACAAAAGGCTCCAGGTGGTGTGACACCAAGTGCTCGAGCCCCTGTGGCCCAAGTGGGCACCACACACGACTCTCAGTGCCCTCTGGCAGGCAGGAGTGCCAGAGCTCCTCAAAGAAGCCTGGCCCGGCCCCCTCTGGGGGGTGGGGGAAAGGCAGAAAGAGGTCAGAGAAGTTTACGGACAGGGGTGGCAGGCGAGCATGGCACGTGAGACCAGTGGGTGTGGTGTAAAGGGCGTGGACATCTAGCCATGCGGGGGCTGGGCGTCTGGGCTGCAGTGGCAGGAGCAGAGGGCGGGCAGGGCGGCCAGGGCATAGGCAGGGCATGTGGACAGCTTCCAAGGGTGCATAGATTTGTCCTTCCACACGGAAGCGCAGTTCCAGAGAGTAGATGGGCTCCAGCGCCTCCACCTGGAGCTGCAGCACAGGTAGTGGGCCCTTGATCTCTCGGGGCCCCATGCTCAGCCGAATTGGGGCCGGGGCTTCTTGCACCATCAGTGCTGCTGCAAAGCCCTGGTTCTCAGCCACCAGCGAAGAGGCTAGTGCAGGTGCAGTAAGCGAGGGGGCCAGGGCTACCCCCAACTTGGGCCCTGCCAGGTGAGCCAGGAGGATGTAGTAGAGGCGGGCATGGTCCCGCCCGTCAGGGTCCTCCAGCTGCCTGGCCAGTGCCTGCAGCAGGTCTGCCAGGCCATCCCCCCCACCCACGTGTAGCAGGGCCCGGCAGACCCGCAGCAGGGCCTGCTGTAGGTCCCAACCTGTGCAGTGGGCAGCTGCAGCCTGTAGAAAGCTGAGGGTGGCACTCTGGGCGCTCCCATCTGCCACCTTTGCCAGCATTTGCAGGTGCCAGCGAAGAGCTTCATCCCTGCCTGGCCTGGATACCACCTCCTGCCGCAACAACACCCTCAGAGGCTCTCCCAGCTCAGGGACCACCTGATCCAAGAGGTCTACAAAGTGGGGAGCCAGCACAGGCCGGGCTCGGTACAGCTGGGTCAGTCCATGGATCAAGGGTGTCAGCACCGTAGGTTGCCCAGCCAGGCAGTGGGCAACCAGGTATGAGGCCTGGAAGCAGAGAGTAGCCAAAGCCCGGGGGCCCCCGTCCAGGGCTGCCCTCTGCTGCAAGCTGGCCATTAGCTCCTCCAGGGAGCCCCGAGGGCTCTGTACCAGGCCTTTCTCCTCCTCCTCCTCATCTTCGGCACAGAGCAGGCACAGCAAATGCAGGCGAGCCAGGAGGGCCATCGGCTCATGTAGGAGACTGGGCAGGAGACCATGGCAGAGCTGGGGCCTTAGCAGCAGTGGCGCAGCCTCCTCACCTTCTGGGCCCAGCGGCCAGTTCTCAGGGAAGCTCAAGAGGCAGTGCAGGTAGAAGAGATGGGTGGGCAGGGGCAGGGCTGGGTGCTGGGCAGCCAAGGTGAGCCGGCGGAGCAGCAAGGCCTCATCCTGGACCGTGAACAGCGCCTCACCAAAGGCAGCTTTGAGCGCAAGAACAGCGTGCAAGAGTGTCAGCTGTGCTGTGCCCAGAAGCCGTACCAGCTGTGGCTTGAAGAGCGCTGGTGGCTGTCCCTGCAGACCCCGTAGGGCCCAGCCCAGTAGCCACAGAAGCTGGGCCTGGGCCACAGGCGTGAGCAGATAGGTGGTGTCTAGAAGCTGGGCCACAGCAGCCCGAAGCTCCCGAGCCTCCTCAGGGCTGGGCTCTCGAGCTGCAAGGCGACGCTCCCCCTCCTCAGCTGCCGGCCAGCTGGGTGCCTGGGGCTGAAGGTGGGCATCACCCTCTTCAACTAGTGTCCAGTCCCAGGGACCATCCCTAGTAGGGGAGACCCCGGCCATGAGCAGGCCCCGCAGGCCAGCCCCAGCCCGGGACTGGACCACCAGGGTGTTGCGCAGAGCAAGTGCCAGCAGCAGGCTGAGTGGCTGGACGGGGCCCGCCTGCCCCAGCAGGCCCCGCAGCAGCCCCAGGGCGCCCCCCAGCAGCCCAGGCTTGCAGCTCTCCAGCTCTCGCAAACACTCGCACGCTGTGGCCTGTAGGGAGCGCTGTTCCGAGGTGGGGCCAAAGCCTGGTCCCAGGTCGCTGCCCGAGGCCAAGCCAAGCAGCAGGGGAAGCAGCCGGCAGGAGGCGCCCGAGGTGGGGCCCAGCGCTCCTCCTGCCGCCAGCGCTGTGGTGGCCGCCAGCAGCAAGAGCCGCCGGAGAGCTGAGAGCCGTGGGGGTAGGAGAACCAGGGTGTCCAACAGGGAGGTGGCGGCCACCTCTGCTGCAGGGGCGTCAGGCCACAGCTGGACTGGGTACTCCAAGCTCAGGACCAGCAAGGACACCTGGGACGGGGGGTTAGGAAAGAATCATGAAAATGAGGCTCAAGACGCGGGAGGCTGGGGTAACCACATGGGCCAGGGAGGGGACATGGGCAGGGCTTACCTTGGTCTGTTCGCTCAGCTTCTCACTCCTCAGGTCGCTCAGCAAGTCGCGACCCAAATCCTCACCCTCGGGACCTGCCATGAAGGCAGACGGGCTGGCCCGGAAGGCCGCCAGGCGCTGGGCCCAGGCTTCCCGGCTCAGGGGCCCCATGGTCAGGCGCACAGGTCCCTGCGGAGGAGACGGAAAACGTAGGGCCGGCGGCCGCGGCTGCGAAGACTCGCGGGGTCCCGAAGCCGCCAGAGGGCGCCCTCCACCACCCCCGAAGGGGCTACCGTCCCCCTCCAGGGCCGTCTCGCAGATCCCAGCAGGGACCCCGCACCGGGTCCCAAGACGAAACCGACAGCTTTCGGGGGTGTCGCCGGGGCGGGCCGCCAAGGCTCCTGCGGGCAAGCAGGGCGGGGCGCCGGTGCGTGCGGAACGCTCATTAGGCCGCCCGCGGCCGGCACCGAAACCACAGCGCCGCCCGGGCCCCCGGCGCCCGCGGTAACGGGCTTGCTCTCACCGCCTGACTCAGCCGCCGCGGGCGCTCGGCCGGCCGGCTCCTTCCGGGCTGGCGGCGCGGGGCGGGGCGGGGCGCGGCGCAGGGGTGGCGAGGCCGGCGGGGGCGGGGGCCGGGCGTAACGGGGCCGCCTCCCCGCCCGCCGCCGGCAGGTGCCGACTCGCCGGTTTCGCTGGGGCTGAGTAACTGTCCCGCCGGCAGGCCCCTCTTCCCCGAAACCGCCGCAGGCCGGCGGAGGTGGGTGGGCCCGGCTCCCGGGCGCGGGGGCTGCGATCCCGGGGCCCTCTGGCGGACAGCGGCTCAGGCCCCGACTGCGCTCGCCGAGCCGGTGAAGGGGGCAGCCAGCGCGCCCCCCTCCGGCGCTCGGGCACACTGCATCCCGCCCCGGTCGCGCGCGGTTCCCGAAGGTGGCGTGGGGTGCGGGTCCTCGGGCTTCCCGGGTGGCCTCTAGGGGCGTGCGAGGTGCGGTCCCAGGGCGCCCGCAGGAAGAGCATACCGCGGCCCCAGCTGAACCGGTCGGGCGGGCGCCGCAGGGCTTGGCTTCGCTTCCCCGACGCCTGTCTAGGGGTGGGGGAGGCCCACCCGCTCCGCTTGGGGGCGAGGAGCCGGCGCCCGGGTCGCCGCCCGGCGGAAGCGTCTGACCTTTGCCCGAGGCCACGCCGTTGACGGCCAGCAGGGGCCGAGGCGGCGCGGGCGGGGCAGGCCATAAGTCGAAAGGAAGCCAGAAAACAACGGGATCCACTGGGGAATTGCGGGTTGGCAGGGCCTGGCGGGTCACGGGGCTCGCCGACGCCTAGCAGAGCCGGGGAAACTAAGGACCTGGAGGAGAGCGGCCTCATCGTCGGAGACCTAGGTCCAAGCAGGCCTGGAACCCAGCACTCTCGACATCCAGAGGGCTGGCCCCAAGCTGTTTGGGGGCGTCCAGGGGACCGACCCAGGTTCAGATGCCCTAATAACCGCTGGTTTCCAGGGCACAGAACGGCGTCCAGGGCGTCCAAACCCCACCCCCCGCCGGCCTAACACCTCTGGCTCATAATTAGTTACTTTGAAGATGAAACAGGCCTAAGCCCCCATGCTGGCAGCTGCCAACTCGCCTCTCCACTTCCTCCCGGCTGTGCAAGCCCCTCCCTAACCCATCCTGCTGCAGCTCCAGATAGGAGGTGCTGGGGAGCTAAGGGGTAGAGAATGCTGGAAAGAAAGCTGTCTGGGTACCTAGGGTGCCAACCATGGGGCTGGAGACAGGGACCCACCTGGAGGGACAGGTCCAGCCAGAAAGCCCGGTCCTGGCTCCTCTGGGCCCTGGCTCCACAGTTGACTCACAGGCGGCAGCCCCAAACCACTTCCCTCTAGGTGCCTCAGTTTCCCCATCTATAAAATGGGAGTGATGACTCCCACCCAAGAGGCAGTGGGGTGGGGCAGCCTGGCTAATTAAACCTAAGATGAAAGAGGCCAGGATGAGAGCAGCCCTGGGGAGGGAAGGCAGTTTGGAATAGGAGCCTATCTGGTTTCCCTGTCTGAGGCCCAGAGGGTGCTGTAACTGCACGGCCCCGGCTGTCACCATGCATGGTAAGGCAGAAATGACTATTAAACCCCTTTTACAGTTGAGGAAACAGGCTTCCAAGGGTCAGGAGGCCTGGCCCCAGCTCAGCCTTTGACAGCATGGCCTCCGCAAACCTCCGGCCTATTTGAGCCTTGGCTCCTTGGAGCTGAGTGTTCGGAGAGAGGGAACGCACATGTGGTTTCCAATACTTGATGGATGCAACCACATGGACTCGCTGAGGCTCACGGCAGCCCCAAGTACCAAAGGTGGGTACCATTCACAGATGAGGAAAGGGAGGCCCAGAGACATGCAGTCACTTACTCAAAGTCCCAGAACTACTCAGAAGTAGAGCCTGGACTTCAGCCAACAGCCCCAGGCCATCCCCCCACACCAGCCGTCCTCAGCCCTCTTGGGTATCCAGGTCCCTGGATGGGCCCTGCTCTCACTTGCCTGCCCAGGTGTCTGCGACCCTATGGGAGGTCGGTGCTGGCTCTGTCCCTGGCACAGGCCAGGCATAGAGTAGAGCTCAGCCTATCATCAGGCCCAGCCGGGAGGAGAGTGGCATCCCAGCCTCGAGGGTCCAGGTGTGGGCCACTGCCAGGTGGCTGAGCCGCAAATTCTCCACTTGATGGCCTCACTGTGTTTCTTCTCTTCCTGCTGAGTTTCCATCCTCCCCCATGCACCTGTTCTGGGGAGACACCACACGCAAGGCTTGGAAAAGGGAAAGTCAGTTTCCTGAGGGGCCCTGAGCCTCGGTTTTCTCATGTGTAAAATGTGGGCTACAACTAAGGTGTCCGCACTGCACTGGGTGCTGGGGATATGGGGATGCTTTAAAAGGACAAAAGGCACATCCACAGAGATAGAGTAGTGGGTGCCAGGGGTGGGGCGTTGGGAGGAACAGAGAGTGACGGCTAAGTATAGGATTTTCTTTTGGGGTGATGAAAATGTTCTGGAATTAGATAGTGGTGATGGTTGTACAGCTCTGTGAGGATATAAAAGCCAGCAAATTGTTATACTTTATAAAAGGGTGAATTTTATGGTATATGAATTATATATAAATGAAACTATAAAAATGGTGTTTTAAAAGGGATTCCCTCAAGTGCAGAACTTGTACTCATGGAGAGAACAGACAGCAAAAAAGAAACCCAAATTTCACAGAGTGAAGGTGCTATGGAGAGAAAAGAATAGGGTAATGGGACAGAGGTGGTGGGGGTGGGGCGAGGATTTAGCTGGGGTGGTAAAAGAGGCCTTTTTTTTTTTTTTTGAAACAGAGTCTCACTCTGTTGCCCGGGCCAGAGTGAGTGCCATGGCGTCAGCCTAGCTCACTGCAACCTCAAACTCCTGGGCTTAAGCAATCCTGCCTCAGCCTCCCAAGTAGCTGAGACTACAGGCATGCGCCACCATGCCCAGTTAATTTTTTTCTATATATATTTTTAGTTGTCCAGATAATTTCTTTCTATTTTTAGTAGAGATGGGTCTCGCTCTTGTTCAGAGCTGGTCTCAAACTCCTGACCTCAAGCAATCCTCCCGCCTTGGCCTCCCAGAGTGCTAGGATTACAAGTGTGAGCCACCATGCCCAGCCCAAAGAGGCCTCTTGGAAGAGGGGCCAACTGGCTAAAACCTGAATGGTGAGGGGCACCCAGTCATTGTGTAGGGCAAAGCATTCCCGGCAGTAGTGGGAGAGGAGGCTTGAGCTAGGAGCAGGCTCTGGCCTGTTCAGGGGACGCAGGAAAAGGCAGTGTGGCTGGCACCCAAGGACCCAGCCAGAAGGGGGTTAGGAGGTCAGTAGTGGCCAGGGCATGCCAGGCCTTGGGATTTTATTTCAGTAGCGATGAAGCTGCTGGAGGGTTTGAGCTGAGGAGAGTCAGGGTCTTGACCTGAGTTGTTTTTGAGACAGGGTTGTCGGGGCTGGAGTGCAGTGGTGTCCTCATAGCTCACTGCAATCGCAAACTCCTGGGCTCAAGTGATCTTCCTGCCTTAGCCTCCTGAGTAGCTGGGACTACTGGCACAAGCCACCATGCCCACCTAATTTTTTTATTTTTTAAAGAGATGGGGTCTCGCTATGTTGCCCAGGCAGGAGTGAGCCACCATGCCCAGCCCCTGACTTGGGTTTTAACAGTGCCTCATGTGACAACATGGCCCACCTGCCCCTCCAACCTCAGTTCCTCCCCCCCACCCTACCCGGTAGCCTTTGGATTCATTGTGCACACACTGAGCTCACTCTTGCTCTGGGGCCTTCTCAGCAGCTGTTCCTTCTGCTGGCCACGCTCTTCACTGCTCTGCACAGCTGGCTCCTCACTCTCATTCAGCAACCCCCACCTGCCACTGTCACCTCGCTCTAGTCAAATGTTCCACGTTGTACACCTTCCTTATTTCTTTCTTTGCCTTGTACCACAGAATTCCCAGTGCCTAGCACAAAGTCAGTGTGAATAAATGTTTGTTGACTGAATTAAGAGATGGAAGAATGACATCTAGCCAGCCCTGTGCTGGGTGCTGGGCAAACAGTAGTGAACAGAGCAGAAGGTGCCTGTCCCCATGGGGCTCACAGTTTAGCTCCGTGTTCACGGGGTTCACATACATTGTCTGGCTCCAGAGCTGCCTGTGAACCACAGCCCACACACCAGCAGCCTGCGGGTCAAACCTAACCCACAAAGGTGTTTTGTTTGACCCATTCCTTGTTTTTTAAAAATTTGAGCTAACATTTAAAAATAAGTAGATTTCACTTACAAATCTAGATTTCTGGCTTCTCTTGGGAAATGGAAAGACGTGGCCATGTTGGGTTTCTGCACCTGAATGACACGACTGGGACTGCCTTTCCGACAGGCACTTTCTCCACAGTCCCCTGCACGCTCTTCTCTCCCAGCCAATTGTCAGTTGCCTTTTGTCACTGAATTTGTAGTACTGTTTGCCTTTTAATAAAGAAATTTGCTCTGTATCTATGTCTCTACCAAAAATTGGAACGTGAAAGGTAAATGGGTCACACAAGAAAATGGCGTATTTATTCACTCGAGAAATATTTATTGACAATCCACTTTGTGCCGGGACAGCTGAAGATGCCGGAGCGACAGCAGTGAACAGCACAGACACAACTCCCTCGCCCTGGGCTCCGTTCCACATGCTGTGATTCTCTCATGCACGTGGTTCCACTGGCTGGCTTCACCCACTCAACTTCCCCATCTGGCCTTCCGGACACTGGGGTTGCTCCCACATGAGAAAGACTGCCCCCTGTGTGCAGGGCCATCTGTGAGGACTTCACCATGTATCCACTGAGCACCTACTGAGGACCAGCCCATCAGGGTCTGGCACAGCAAAAGTGCTCAATAAACATTTGTTGACTGAATGAACTAAATTCACTTCTCTCTTAGACAGTGCTCATCAATGTTGTTTCTCCTGGATTTACCTCAAAAGACAAGCACTTAGTAGGTGCTCACTTAACGTCAGTTGAACAAAAAAGTCCAGGATCAGAGTAAAGGATTGACAAGGGAAGTTCGGGTTGCATGAAGGCAGAGCCCTGGGAAAGGCAGGGGAGGGGGCAACACAAACGCCCCCTAGCGAGAGCTCACATCACCCTCCCAATAGCCCCAGGAGGTAGGTGACAGCATTGGCCAGTGACAGACAGGGAAAGCCCCTTGGCTAAACTCACAGGCTCCAGGAGTGAGGGAGGAGGCTCACATGCCCCCAATGCCCATGCTCTCCCCAACCCACTGAGGGCAAGCTCCAGAGGGGTATGGGCAGAGCCTCTAGAAGCCTCCCCATGCTTGAAAAAACATCATCTTCCACTAGATGCCTGAAAGCCCACCCTCAGCAGGCTACTCTGACTCCTGACTGTTGAACTGTGTGAACTCATTTATCAGACTCATTTCTCCCTCATCTGCTCCAGCAAACATTTAGTATGTGAGGAAGGACTCTAAAATGTTAGTTTGTTTTAGGGGGGCGGGGGTCCCATCCCTGCCCCTACTAGGTCAGCCAGTGAAATAGACCCTCCGTGGTCGAAGTGCCGCAGTGAAGTGCCTCATGGAGGCCACAGAGCGCTCTCCGGTTTCTGAGGAGAGGGGCATCCCTCCAACGAGGACTGGGGACAGAGCAGAGCATGACTAGCGGTTGAGGCTGAACCAGGGTAGGCTGCGGGGAGGAAGCTCTCCGCAGTGGCCCTCTCCCACGGAGGCTGGGCCTTATCCTGCCTGGGTCCTCGGCTGCAGCCGAGCACCTGAAATCCACCCACGTGGGACATGAAAGACTTTTTGTGAGTAAGCCCCAATGGCCAAGACGCTGGGGGTTTTCGGGATCTCCGTGGATCCATCCAGCGTAAACGCCTTTTCCTCCACGAAGCCTTCCCCGCTTCGTACTCGGGCGTGCTCGGGCCGAGCGCGTCCAGGCCTCCCCGCCCAGCGGCCTGCGGCCCTGCGTGCCTTCCCGCACGAAGCCGGCGCCCGGCAAATACCTCTGGACTGAACCACCAATTGCTCAGCCTGGCTCTTGGGATCCCGGGCCGCCTGGGCCCAGGCCCCGTTCAACAAGTGAGGGCCGGGCCGCCCGTTCCCGCCCGGCGGCTTCGCGCCTCCTCAGGCGCCCGGGGCGCGCCAGGCCGCGCCGGGCCCAGTTGGACAAGTTCATTTCATCACCCGCGGAGCGTGCGAGCGCCGGTGCAAATAACGTTGCCCCCTCCCCGCCCTGCCCCACTCCGCTCCCTCCGAAACTCCTGTTTGCAAACGCGAGCACGCCCGGCCCAGAGGTCCCGGGCGGGGACCGGCGGGCTGGGCAGCCGGGTACTGGGTGCCTGGCGCCCGCCCCCGCCCCCGCCCTGCAGCCCCGCCCGGGCCGCGAGGCCACCTCACCGGCAGCGGAATGGAAACCGGTTCGACAGGTAACAAATAGGTGGGTTGTCACCGTTATTTCCCAACGCATGCGCCGTCGCTCTCTGGGCCACTCCAAGCTAATTAGATCAGATCAGCCCCCTCCACCTCCCGCCCCAGCCACCAACACACACCGCCGCGAGCCAATAAAGCGTGAACCTGTCCGTCCGGCTCGCACTTTAAGACTTCCCGAGCGGCCGCGGGGACGCCAGTCGAGCCAGGAGACGCTTACCTGCCGCTTCCCCCGCCGCCCGGTGCACCTGGCTGCAAGGAACCTCGTTCGGAAGGAGGACGGCGACACTCGGCGGAGTTGGAAACGGCGCGCGCCGTCCGGGCACTATTTTTGCCGTGGAACGTCGGGGCGCCTTGGCGACTCTTTCCCTGAACCGTGCCCCCTTCACCCGCCCCAGCCGGCCCGGGAAAGGTAGGACGACGGCTCCCGGCTCTAGTTACAGAAGCGGACCGTGCCCGGCGAGGAGGGTTGGAAAATGCCCCGTGCGTTCCTGGTGAAGAAGCCATGCGTCTCCACGTGCAAGAGGAACTGGAGCGAGCTCCCCGACGAGGAGCGCGGCGAGATCTACGTGCCAGGTGAGGCGCCCGCGGCGGGTGCAGCTCCGGCGCCGGGAGCGAGTGTTTCGGCGGCAGCGGCCCCGTTAGCCCTCGGGCGCCGACCCTGGGCAGGGGGCAGGGGCAGGGGGCCCGGCCGGCGGAAGCGGGGCCGGCTGGGGGCGGGGGCTGCCAGGTGGAAGCCCGGCAGGCCCGGGGGGCGCAGGGGAGGCAACGGGGTGTGTCACCGCTCTGGCGACCCTCGGCTCTTGCGTCGTAAATCCTGAAAGCCGGGAGTTTCATGGGGCGGGAGGAGGGCACTGGAGCGATGCCACTTTGGGGGGCAGGGAGCGAGCAGGAGTTTCGGCGGAGGTTTTGCTAAATGTAAGAGAAGACCCAGAGCTCAAGCCTCTTGCATAGGTCTCTCCTCCTCCCCCACAGCACTGCTGGCGGGTTGGGGTGAGGGTCGGGCGGCTCCGGCTTGGCGGTCCCCGCGCAGCGCGCCGAGACGGTGGGGAAGGCGCCCGCCCTACCCCGCTTGCCCTTAAAACAAAGGTGGGATCGTGTCGCACCTGTTAGAAACGTACTTCCTTCAACCTTGCAAAGGACACAATTGAGCGGAGAGCGGTTTAAAGGAGCCCACCCCAGGCCAGGCCGGGGGGACCAGGCCTGGGGAAGCTGGTGCACCCAGTTTATTTTTGGCAGACGCCTTGACAGCGTCAACTGTGAATGAGTAACCCGAGTTGTTTCTTCCTCCAGTGGCGTCTTCCCCTGCAATCCCTGAGAACACTTCTGCCCCTCTGTCCTTCCCCTGCCCCCACGAAAGTCTTTGGAGAAAGCCAGCTTCCTTCGCTACTCCCCCTCCCCAGGCCTTGGGGGTGGGGCAGGGATGCACGGGAACACCCGCCCAGCGCCTCCGAGGGGGGAGAGGTTGTAATTAACCAACCGTCTTTGACCCTTGATCTGCAGGCTCCCTGGCACCGCCCAGGCCTTGTAGGAAAGTGGGGAAGTGAGGGCAGCCGTGAGCGACCCTGTGAGGGCTCTTGCCTCAGTTTCCCTTCTGAATAAGCTATTGGAGACAGTGGTGTAGTGGTGAGGTCTTTGTGGCATGACCTGCCAGGATCCAAGCGCCTGTGGTGCCGGTGGGATGTTTCACCTTAACCTGCTCTCAAGTAGCTGGACCCCTCTTCTGTAGCCTACTGAAAGCAAGGGAATGTGCCCGAAGGCCCTGATGACCCCACTGGGGAAACTGAGGCAAAAAGGGATATGAGTGGCCCGCTCACCGAAGGTGGATCAGGGTGCAGCTCAGGGCTCTGTGTATAGCTTCTGGCTTCACCAAGTCCCCAGCGAGCTGACTGGTTCTCTACCTCTGGAAGGGCCGCAGAGGGACGGAGCCCCCTTCCTTGCTTGTGCCTCCACCCCAACCTGTGTTTGACTTGCTGCTTAGCTGCTCCTTGGGATCTGATAAACTGAACTTGGACTGTGTTAAAGGTGAGCTGAGCCTTGAGCCAGACTCAGTGTGCTGTTATTTTTAGTTTTATTTCACATCTCAATCAGTAACAGATCATGTGTTGACTTTTACAAAGGACAAAGAAATTCCGTTTGTTTAAATCATTGACTTCCTTTCGTCCTAGTGATTCCCCCCCCCCAACAGCTCTGGTGGCACAGTGGGAGTGGGGGGAATGTCAAGGGGAGAGATCTGAGCCTCAGGGGCTGATCCATCAGGTACAGGGGAGGGCTTCTGGGTGGTCCAAGCCACCCGCTGCTGCTGCTGCTGCTGCTGCTGCTGCTGCTGCTGCAGGTGAGGGGGACCTGCAGACCACCTGCTCTGGAGGATCTTCCAGCACTTTGGGTGGGGGGTTGGTTGAATCTCCAGCGCTGGGGTGAGAATTTGCCCTCATCGCTCTGATGAGGGAGACTCCTGTGGGGTAAGTAAAGGGTAGAAATTACAGAACTTATTTTTACCTCTAAAAGCCATGCGGCCCACTGGACAGTTTTCCCACAGTTTGTGGAAATGAGAAAGGGAGCGTCCGCAGTCCACGCTCGGGTGCTTCCGATGGCTGGAGAGTGGGGGGTGTGTTTTGTGGTTGCCTGTCCCCTGCCTGGCTAGGCCATTCCATCACCAGCCATCCATGACCCCAGGAGCCGGCTGGGCACGTTTCCGTCACCCCACCTCACAGACTCCCAGCACGTTGTGACCAGCTAAGCACTGACCCTGTTGGCACTGGGAGGGCTGGGGAACATGGGAGTATTTGAGTTCTGACCTTCCCGCCAGGTTCTTCTGAGACCCTCAAAGCATCACAGGGACGACCACCTGGAAGGCGGTAACACTGGCCAAAGATGCCTGACCCCAGCCCGGCAACTCTGATCCAGGGCCCCAGTCTGACAATCACACCAGCCTTTCTCCCCCAGGCAGAATTCTAGGGTTCCTGCTTCCAGGGCAGAATCTTTCTCCTGGGAAGAGGTAGAAGCTGGCTCCATCCGCCCTGGAAGACTCGAAAGGGAAGACTCGAAAGGGTTAGTGGTTAGGGTGCCACCTTGAGGCCCCCACTGCTCTCCCCTCCCCGCATCTCTCCTGTGTTATGTCAATATTGACTGTGGAGTGACAGGGAGTAATGCTGGTTCCTTGAGGATGAACTCAGGCACCTGTGTCCAGGGGTAAATTCCACCTTGTAGACCAATGGCATCTCCAGGCCCCAGCACTGCTGCGTGAATTCTCAAGGCCAGGAAGGCACTTGAGGGTAGACTGAGCCTGGGAGCAACCAGGCCTCCCCCAGGCCCCCGGCCGCCCTCTTCCACGCCTGCCCTCCGTTGCTGGGCTAAGCTGTAGGAGACTGGAGCTGCCATTAGGGAACATGGCTCAGGCTGACTCTGCCACTAGATAGTGTGGGAACGTGGGCAGCTCTTTCCCTGCTAGTCCGAAAGGCTGAGGAAGTCAGCTTTGGGCCCCAGAGTACCTGTGTGGGGGTGACAGGAGGTGGCGGGCAGGGAGAGCTTAGGCCTCTGATGATTATTCTAGTAATTCCTGGGAAGTGTTTGGCAGCAAAGGAGATGTTTGCTGTGCTCTCCAGGGAGCCAGGCTGGGAGAGTGGACAGCCAGATAGCCAACAGGGATAGAAGAGCAACTGGGGCCCTGGAAACTGGGCTCAATGGGACTCCTACCTGTCCCATAGGGTACTGTCACCCAAGCTGTTATTTGTCCTGAGTTTGGGTGTCCCAAGATGGAAATCTGCCAGACCATTTGTCCCAGAAAAAGAGCAGGTGAGGGTGAGTCTGTTGGCCGCAGGGACGGTGGCGAGGGAAGCCTGGCCATTGCTGTGGACAGGGTTCCTCTGTATCATCGTTCATTTTCCACAAGTACCCTACGGAGTCCTGAGCGGCTGCCAGGCCTGTGCTGGGCTGGAGGGTGGGAGGATGCAGGGAGGCGCAGCTCCCAGATGTTCCGTGCCGGGCACCTTGGTGTGGGAGCTGAGGCGCACAGTTTTACTTCATCGTGGACAATGAGTGAAAAATGGTTGGGAAAGGGGAAAAAGATACTGCCTGAGAGAAAGAACTTCTGGCAGTTCACAGAATAGAAACAAAAGGCTGAGAGACCAACCCATGTGCTTCTGGGGCTGCCCGCCTCTGCCAGTGGGCTGGCACTGGATCCTTTCAGGCTACTGCTAGCTGATTTGCAGGGACTAGGGAGACAGGCAGGAGGACACCGGCCCTTCCTGATAAGGGAGCAAGGCTGCAGAAAACCAGCCTGGCTGTGCTGACACACTGGGTTCCTGCCTCACGTTCTGAATCAAGCTGGCCCTCCACGCCCCGGGGCAGCATTGGCACGAGCACCCATGCAGTCAGCTGGGGCCCAGAGGGATGGGTAGCCTTGAGTCTGCTTCAGTTGCTCTCCCCAGAGAGCCAGGGACCAGGCCTCATGCCCAGCCCTGTCCTGAGGCCCTGGATGGGGAAGGACCTGGCACTCTGTCCAGTAGTTGGGCCAGTAGCTGTCAATCAATCGAGAGAGAGGGGACTTGCAGAGGGTAAGGTAGGAGACGGCCCCTTGCCTGAGCAGCTGCTCTGCTCTGGTTGTCCGTTCCTCTGCTCTGGGCCTGGCCCTCAACATCACCAGGTGGAAGCAAGTTGGGCCAACAGGAGGGGAACCCACGAGCCCCCGAGGGCGTAGGGAGAGGGCTGGGTTGGCTTGGCCTTGCCACACTCCACAGCTGTGGGCAGGCGATGAGTAGCCACAGCAGCCACCACCTTGCCGGAAACATCTAATTACGGGACAGTACAAGCAGGGCCCAACCAGTTCTGCTTCCTGCCTTCTGACACTCATCAATACTCAGTGACAGGGTGGCACGCCAGTGCACACTCCCTGTGCGTGCAGCTGTGGCAGGGACACACGGGGGTGGCAGGGAGACAGGTTTGGCGGGGCAGGTGGGATAAGGCAAATATCCACCCTGGCAACGGCACCACCCGTCCAGCCTCCCCTGCCCCTCTCTCAGGGTAGAGGCGGCCCACAGCCAAACCAGGCAGGCTCACCCCCATCCCAGCCCCCAGCACCAGCACAGCGGGTTTGTGTGGAACAGCAAGGCAGGCAAGGGACAGAGGTTTCTGCCCAAACTGACTTGGATCCTCAGGACCCTAACCCCCAGCCTCCCCTCTCATGGAGCAAGGAAGCCCAGAGCAGCCATTCGTTGCAGGCTCAGCCAGTCCCCTGTGCGCAGCTCAGGGGCCGTGCTCATGCCATCCAGCACGGACAGAAGAGGGTAGGGGTTCCTGTTTGTCTCTACTTGGATTGAGAAATGGAAGCTGTCATCCAGCTTTGACTTCTCAGCCCAGGTCTCCAATAGCTTGTAAGCTGGCATCAGAAGCTGCCGGCCGACACCTGGCCCGCCCCAGCCCCAGCCCCATGGTTCCTGATGGCTCCTGCTACAGGAGCCAGGCTGGGCTGCCACCCGGCTCAGAGAGGTGTGACACCAGCTCAGAGGCCAGGCCAGGGCCAGGCACTGGTGAATCAACACCTGAAATGAGGTGGCTCATTAAAGGCCCCCGGACAGACGGACGCCAGCGCCTGCAGGACGGGTTCTGGGCGGCGGCGGCAGGCACATTCTTCTCCTCTCAGACCTTTGTTGTGTTTTGAGGGGGCGAGAGCCGGGGCCTGTCCCGAAACTTCAGTGCTTTCATACGAGCCCTTGCTCCATGGTCATGTTCTCCCGCTTCCCCACGTCCCACCCATCCTAGGAGAGGGGCTGAGAGCAGCAGCCCTCTGGCCGGTGCCCTCGGCCCACTCTCTGCCTCACTGGTCTGGGGCCGCAGGACGCAGAGAGCCTCGCTGTGGTTCTGAAATCCTAAATCAGCCTCCCACGCCCCTCTCTGAAGCTCACTCATCCTTTCTGTCCTAGGTCCCTTTTGATTTTTCCTTCTGAAGCTTGGAAAATGTCCCTAGCTTGTAGATTTTAAGTATAGAGCTTAGGCTCTTTGGAAGAAAAACACTGACTAACTTGAAACATTAGACCACTGCCCCAGCTCCGCTAGCTTCGAGCCCCATCTCCTGTGTCCCTCAAGAGCACTCATCCTTGTCCTCTCTGGTCAGGACTAGGTCCGTGGTCGGAAGCCAAGCCTCCCCGGCCCGTTCAGTGTGAGGTGTCTGCCCTGGGAGGGGCCCCGTCAAAGGGCTGCCAGGTATCGGTGCCGCCACCACTGCCCGAGGGAGCCCAGCCCGACTGCGCAAGAGCAAGCGGTCCCTGCTGTGGGGGAGGGTTGCGAAGGCCTGGGCAGGCCGCTGAGACTGTTCCACCCGCATCCACCTGCTGCTCCCTGACCTCCTCCCTGCTCCACCCACTGGCCTGTTTGCCTGCGGAGCTGGCCCAGCTAGGCGTGGGGAGCCTGGAGCCCTGATGGGCTGTAGCAGCCAGGACCAGCCAGCCCTCAGGAGGAAGGGGATAGGGCCACCCAAACCCCAAAGCCAGCAGCTAAATCTGCTTGGAGCAGCCCAGACCACTAGGGACCTTTCTGGGGCAAGGATGAGCCCCAGAAAGCCCCTCAAAGAGCTATGCTTGGGCACAGGGCCTCAGTTGGCAGAGAGTGGACGGGGCCTGGAATCCAGAGGGACTGGCCCAGGTGGGGCAGGCAGACAACTCTAGAGGGCTAATTGGCAGGACAGCTCGGTCCTCCCAGTTCCGCTAAGACACAAATTACTCAGCGGGCAGTGGCGCTTGGCTGGCGTCACCTACAATTACCTTAATAGGGTGTGAGGGAGGTACAGCGTGTGGTGGGTTGGGGGCAGCCCCGCTCTGCTGCGTGCCTGCAAGGGGAGGGACGGAGGCTGCAGGTTCCAGCCAGCTCACTGCCAGAGAACTATCTAGAAATCCCACTGGATCCTCTATTCTTTATCATGGCCCTCATCTGGCTGTTCTCTCCCTAGTCAGCCTGGGCTTCTGCCCACCACAGCCCTACCGGGAGCCGGAACCATCAGTGGCCGAACCCCCTTCCTACCCGCTGGCTTTGGACATGAGTCTTCGGGACGCCAGCTATAGTGTAGCCCCTGCACCCTGCGTGGTGGCCCAGCTGCCCTCGGAAGACATGGGCCGCCTGACAGACCCCCAGAGCAGAGACCACGGCTTCCTGCGCACCAAGATGAAGGTGAGGACTCTCACACTGTCTCAGAGGACCAGGAGTGTGTGTACACCTGTGTCCAGCCCATGAGACGTGGCACAAATGAGACGTAGACAGAGACTGACCTGGGACCGGGGCCAAGGTTTCTGCAGAGAAGTGAACTTAGCTGGGGAACAGATGGGGAGGAGAAGAGTAGGTCTGAAGTTCTCTGGAGTCCATGGGCGGTTCAGTTTAGTTTCTGGCCGCAGGAGGCAAGAGGAGCCGTAGGACGAGCCTCCTCTTGACACAAGTTCTAGGCTAAGCAGTCAGATGTGAGCCCGGCTCAGCTCTTCCTCCTGGGCTCCTGCTTGTGCTGCGTTGAGAGAGAGGTCTGGAGTTAGGCATGGTGGTTAACTGTCCCCTGAGGCACGTGCCAGCGATCATCTCGCCCAGGTCTGTGCCCACCAGTGCCCGCCAGCGTCCAAGGCCTTGCATCTAGGGCAGGGCCTAGACAAGCAACCCCACTGCATTCAGCAGCATGAGCAGCGAGGAGGACACGAGGCGGCAGAGAGCACAAGCCACAGGGCTGGCCCTGGCTGGGTCTGCGTTCCTAAAAGCGCCAGGATCCGGGAGCTTCTGCCAGCAGGGATCTAGCGGAAGGGTACTCCTCAGAGCACTGCCCTACGTGCCAAGATTGGCGAGAACTGGCAGTGGAGTGTGGGGCCTTTCTCTCCTGCCTGTGGAGGCCAAGTGTGTGTTATGACTGTGGGGGGACGACTGACATGTGCTGGCTGGCTGGCTAGAGCCACCCGATGCTCACGGTCCCCTAAGCCACCCTCAGGCCCTTCTCCCACCCCCTGGACCTTGGGTAGGGAGGGTGTGGAGTAAGAACAGAAGGGACAGGACAGCAGGTGAGCCGGGGAGTGAGTCCTGACCCCAAAGGCCTTGACTAGGTGGATCCAAAAGCAGGACAGAGTGAGGGGTAGTGACCGAGGTGGCGTGGAGTGACGGGTGCTGGGATTGCAGGAGGAGTTGCCAGTGATGGGGCCACCCACAGAGGACAAGCAGCCTCCACAATATTAGCAGAGGTAGAGCATCGAGCACGTCACCCTGTGCTGGCCACACCTGGAGAGCTGCTGCAACTGCTCTGGGCAGCACAATTTCAAAGGTGTCTGGTGGCATCCAGGATTTGCTCCAAATAATCCCAGGCCAGGGAGAAATAGGGAGGCAGAGATGACATAAGATAGGCCCTGAGTGACAGGGCACAGGGTTCATGCTGTTAGGCTCTGGTCTCTACACTTTGGTACACATATGAAGTTTTACATAATTAAAAAAATCGAAGGGTTTATAGGCCAGAAGGTCCTCAGGGTGGCAAAGGGGTTCAGACCATGCCACGCAGGCCTGGCTTGAGTAAAGCGTGAGCTGGGCTGGCCTGTGACGGGGCTCCAGGCTCCCTCTGCTGGCCCAGCCTGAGATGCCTGCCGCAGAGACCGTGGTGTGGGCATTTCCCCTGTCCTGAGGGGAAGAACAAGGGTGGACGAGCAGAAACTATAGACAGATTTGGCCTCCGTTAAGGGGAACTTTCTAACAGGGAGAGTTGTTGAGGATGAAATAGCTACTTCTGCAGGTGGTAAAGGAGGGCCTGGTGACAACCTTGAAAGGGAACTCGGGGACCCAACTGGAAGCTGTACCATGACCCAAAGGTTCCTTCCACCCCCACACTGCTGACCTCTGGGCACAGGCACAGAGCTGTTGCCTCTGGAGGGTGGACACTGCTTTCCTCAGGGGGACTGGGGCTGGCATCTGTGTCTTCCTATCTGCCAGCCTGCAGCCCCGGCTTCTAGATGTCTGTCACAAATGCTGTCCTCACTCACAGGTGACCCTGGGGGACAGTCCCAGTGGAGACCTTTTCACTTGCCACATCTGCCAGAAGGCCTTCACCTACCAGCGCATGCTGAATCGCCACATGAAGTGTCACAATGACGTCAAGAGGCACCTCTGCACGTACTGTGGGAAGGGCTTCAATGACACCTTTGACCTCAAGAGACACGTCCGGACCCACACAGGTAAGTGGAAGCCTGAGGCTATCGGAGTGGTGCTCTGACACCAGGGAAGGGACACACCAGACCTGCCTGGCCCAGGCACATGGAAGATTCCAGCGAGCCCTGCTCTCCCTCGGTTAAGGGCAGCCCAGGAGAGGCACTGGAGCTCAGAGCAGAAGTCCTCCCGGTTTCATCCATTAGGACTTTGGATTTGAGAGCCACTCGAGAAATCGGTGGTGGACAGGCCTTTGTCCATCCCTCTGCCCTAGAGTCAGCTATTCGGTCCTTTGTGTCCGGAAACTGCCAATAGGTTCTGAGGCCCCTATCAGGTCTTTGATGCCAGTTCCTGTCCTCCCTGTCCTCCCTGTAGGCGTTCGGCCCTACAAGTGCAGCCTGTGTGACAAGGCCTTCACTCAGCGCTGCTCCCTGGAGTCTCACCTCAAGAAGATCCACGGCGTGCAGCAGAAGTACGCGTACAAGGAGCGGCGGGCCAAGCTGTACGTGTGTGAGGAGTGTGGCTGCACGTCCGAGAGCCAGGAGGGCCACGTCCTGCACCTGAAGGAGCACCACCCTGACAGTCCGCTGCTGCGCAAGACCTCCAAGAAGGTGGCCGTGGCCCTGCAGAACACTGTGACTTCCCTGCTGCAGGGCAGTTCCCACCTGTGAGTGGCATAAGCCCCGGGGATGCTCCCGGAGGCCCCGAGGGGGTCCAGGCTTACCTCCCTGCTGCCCGGCTGGTCCACTCTCCTGCAGCCTCTTGCCCAAACACCAGCGATCAGGACTGGAGCTCCCACGCCTCAGCACCCCTCCCCCGGCACACGTGCTCACTCGGGCCCAGCAATGACCTCTGCTCATTTTTGCATTTTTGGTTTATGGGCACAAGCCACTCTGAGCCTGGGAAGACGTATGTCTGTTTGGGAAAGGGCTGAGGCCAAGGCTGCCTTCGGTTAGAAGCAGCTGCCTTCAGAGACCAGCACTGTTTCCGGGCAGCAGAACTTCCTTCCCAGAGGAGGTGCGAGACAGGATCCTGCTGCCCTCGCCTCTGAGCGCAGAGCAGGGGCTGTGGGTCCCCAGTGGACAACAGAGTCGAGAGCACTGGCAAAGGGCAACCCTGAAAGCAACCATGGTGGGGAGCAGGCGACAGCCCACCCACCCGGCAGGGCTTCTAATGCTCAGGGTTCCGGGGGGGCTCTGCCCTTCTGACAAGGAGAGGCACACGTGTGCGCACAGCTGTGTGCGTGTGTGCGCCTGTGCACACACAGGAGGCCTTTCCACATATCACCTCATTTTTAAGAAATCATCTGCAAGGTGCCAAGGAGGTTTTATTTCCTTTTTTAAAAGATGACAATGTACAGATATTAATATATTTTTGGTGCCACTGGCAACTGTTTTTAAGAGAGGGATGGAGCTGGCTTTTCTCCAGTCCCATGCAGTTCTATTTATCCTGGACATTTCAAACCTCCTCTGTGCCTTGGCTCCGGGGGTGACTGCCCCGACATACTCCCCTGTTCTTTGTACCTCTGGAGATATTTAACCGAAGACCTTCCCCTAGCCCTGCCCTGGAGGATGACTGCTCCATCTTCCCTCTGCCCTCCTGGCCTCTGCCCCCTCCCCATCCTTTCAAGGTGAGCCCCAGGTGACCTGAGGAACCTGCTGGCCTCCCGATGACAGACCACAGACCGCTCGTGGAGTAACTGGCCATTCCAAGGCTGAGGATGTGGATCGCTGGGGCTTCAGGGGTCAGCCAGATGGCATGATTACTCTTTGACACCAGTCCACTGCCTGAAGTACAAGACATGTGCGGGGCCAGGCTGGAAGGCTAACCCTTTTCCTGTTTGAGTCAAAAACTGTAGCACAGCAGCAGAATATTAGGGCAGATAAGAACCAACACATCAGAAACTTCCAGGGGGAGGAGAGTATTAATATTAGATGGTTACCAAATCTTATTTGTAGCTTTTTTACTGACTGTTCTTCAAATGGCCAGGTCAGGGTTTTGACTGTGGAAAGAGCTGTCCTGGGCTGGCTGGCTCCCTTGGCACAGCTGATACCAGGAAGGGGGTCTAAAGGAGTATTTGTTTTGTGGGTCAAAAGGAAAGACAGGCGGGGTTAGAGCCAGCCTGCCAGAGAGCGATGGAGGCAAGCAAAAGAGGCCCACACCACAGCTCGCCGCGCAGCCCTTGAAACCAAGCCCCAGCCCAAGCAGGAACAGCCTTGGCCTCCAGTGTCTGCACAGACCCCGGCTCAGCCCTGGCCACCCACTGACCTGAGAGCAAGAAGCCTCCTTGGACTGTCTTCTGAAACGTATAGAGAGTGCTTCTGAAGACTCTTGTTTTACTTTACTAGAGTGGGGAGCTGCTGTATTCTGAAAGTTACCTAGCGTAAAATAACATTATCTGGAAGCTCTGTTTTTGTTTACATTTCTGTGTCCCCGGGTTCACTGCCAGTCTGAGGCAGTCATGAGGCTCTATGTTGTCTGTTTTATTTTATAATCTTCCCCCTATTATATTAAAATCGGAGAACTAATGTTTTCTGTAGGGTTTCTTTGTCTTAGGGGCCTCCTTTCCCCGAACAGGGAAATTAATGAAAACAACTGATGCATTCTATCCAAACTTTCCCCTTTGCAGTTACCACTGGGCTCAAGTCAGGACAAGAACCTGACCCTGACAGATTGGATGACCTGCCAGGGGTCTCGGGCAGTCAATGCCTGCTGACTCCTGGTCCAGCCAGCTCTGCCCTCAGCAGCAGCAGCAGCAGCAGGGCCTCCCCTGCTCTTTTTGTCCTGACTGACAGCCACCACCAGGCCAGAAGCCTCAGGGCTCCCCACAGTCACTTTGGTTCCAGTCTTGGCTTCTCTTCCCAGCACCCTGCCAGGATTGAACCATAGGAGGAACCATGTTCCCAACAATAGGAGGCAAAGTTCATGTCACATCCGGTCAGACACCCAGGGAAGGCCACACTTGCATGGCACTTGTTCTGTGCCAGGCACCCTTACAAGTGCTCTGTGTGTACTGGCTCACTTGATCCTCCATCCACCTCTGAGAGTTGGCGTGGTTATCACCCCTGACCCAGCAGAGAGAAGTTAGGTGGTTGGCCCAGTGTGTCATGACTAACTAGTGGTGGAGCCGGGATACCAACCAGACAGCCTGGCTCAAGGTCTGTGCTTGGAAGCTCTGCACATACTGCCGACAGAGAAACCAGGGAGGACATAGCGGGGCACCCCTGGGCCATTCAAACTAGGAGGAAATGTGCAGATTGCATAGCCTTCCCCATCACTCATCCAAGATCGCTCTGGGGCCCCTGGTCCCTGCCCCAGTTCATTGTTCTTCCATCACACCCGGCCAGATGCAAGAGGAGGAAGGGGAGGAGGAGGAGGCAGAGGAAGGGGAGGAGGGGGAGGAGGAGGGTTACCAGGCCTGGGCCACTGGCATTATGGTTATGTCCTGGCAGGTGAGAGAAGGGTTGGTACCCGGGTGCTGTGAGGAGAAAGGAAAACATTGATCTGACCTTCTCTAGGGCTCCCTGTAAGAAGCCCAGAGGATTGGAAAGGGCCCCTAACCCTCCTGTCTCTTTAAATAGCCAGGCAAGGAGGATTTCTTTTATCTAGAGAAGCCTCCTTCTGTTAAAGGCCAACCAAATCCCATTTTACTATCCCAAGCTGTGCAGAGCCCATTGTTAGGAACTGGGATGATTAACTGCTATGGGAACTTTAGCAGGAGAAGGGATGTGCTTCAGGGGGTGCAGGTATCTCAGGCTTCCCTGGGCCGCTGCTCTCCCACCCACGTGAGCTCAGGTAGGACAGGAGACCTTCCCTAGCAGGGCTGGGCCAGTCACATTCTGAGAGTCTATGATCTCTAGACTCTGTGGGATGGGAACTGTGGGGGAAGCAGGGTGAGGAGCCCTCTGCTGGGGGGGGGGGCGGTGCTCTGACCAGGAAGAAAGAGATTAATGCAAGTCAATATCTAACGAAGGACAAAAGGTGTGGCCAGACTACAAATGCTAAAGAGCCCAAAAAGGAGTCTTTTGCATCTGAAAGAACGATGGCTTCTTGGAAGAGTGGGGCTGGAAGAATGGGAGGATCTGAATAGAACAGAGGAGGAAGGAAGGTGTTCTGGGGAGGGAAAGGTGGGATCAGGCACCAGCAGAGAGCAGCGTGGCGATGGCTGGGCAGAGGCCTGTTTCCACTAACAGTCCGGGTACCTGCTTCACCCAGGTAGTCACACCACAGGCATCCTTTGCGCCCTGCCTAGGTGCCAAGAAGAAGAACTGAGAGCAACACAACATTCTGAGACAGGACAGCTGGGTGGGATGAAGGTAGAGTCCTATTTTTATACCTAAAACCAAAGCAACCAGGGTGGGGCAAACTTTACAATAACAGTAAGGGCTACTAAGGTTTATGTTCTATATTTGAATGTATTTTCTAGTTTTTTTGCAACGAGCATATATTATTTTTACAATCAAAACAAAATAAAGTTATAAAACAATTTAGGGGTTTCAGTTGACTTGGAGTTCAACACATCAACAGAAAGATCCGCGCCCTCCCAAAATAACTAAGATGATCTTGGACAGTATTAGAAGTGTGGCATCAACAGCGGAGGTTCCTCCCTCTGCTCTGGGCCCGTCACCAGAGTCAGCGGTGGCAGGGGAAGAGCAGAGGCCTCAAATTGGCAGCCTGGGTGAGTGACAACCTCTCAGTTTCCTCATCTGTAATACCAGGTGGGTTCCGGAGTTTGAAAGTCCCTCTCTGCTATAAAGACATCATGTGTCTAGGCCCCACCTCCATAAAACCCTTGAAGAAACTCGCTGACAAAGGGCGGCAGAGGTGAGGAGGCCGAGGGCTGAGGAGCGTCTGTCCAGGAGGAGGGTGGCCAAGGACTACATGGCTGCGGGCCTGAGGCCAAGGGAAGGCTTGCTCCAGGGATGCCTTGGGAGGTGAGAATGGGAGGCCTTGTCCCACCTCGGGGAGCAGGACTCTTCCAAGCCCTGGCTGCTCGGGAGGGAGCTGCCGGCGTCAGGACTGGAGCTGCCGGCAGGCTGGGAGCCACTTGCGAGGACTCACTGAGGGGCTCAGCTCTGGGGCTGCGGCTGGACAAAGCAACCTCCGAAGCCTCCCACCCGGGGAATCCTGTAAGGTTGGGCCAAAGTGCAGTGGCCGTGACTGCCAGGCCTAATTGCCATTCCTAAGAAGGCAGAGCCAGGGTGGAAACCGTGCGGACGGGAAGAGACAGACCGGCGGCAAGGCTGCTCTCCCGCCCTGGGCTCGGGGTGAAGACCTGGACCTGCTATAGGGAGGGGCTCCCCTCTCTCTGCCGCTGGCCCTGCCTGTCCTCTGGGTCCACTCCCTCAGGCAATGGCAGGCCCCCCAGGTCCCACCCTCCTCAGGCAAAGCCAAGCTGCCTCCTTCGTTCCCTTCCCAAGTGTCTGAGTCTGTTCAGCTCGGCTCCCCCCCGCCCCCGCAGGGCAACACAGCCAGCTGTGTGCGTCCCTATAACCCATCAGTCACCTCCTGCCCTGCCCGACTGCCCTCCTCACCTGGCAGCTCTGCCCCTGAGGAGGTGTCATGGGGGTGGCAGGCTAACTGACACGTGGGGGCATGGGTACCACACCACAGTGGGCTGATGCTGGGGTAGGTTGAGTCAGTTGTGGAGTCTTGGATGAAGGCAGTACATAGCGAGTCAGACATTCCAGATCTGTTTCCTGATCGTCAGAGCTGCGCGTCAAGCAACTGATTTCTTCTGCTCTTTTCTCTCTCTATAAAATGGTTCCAGGTACTCCTACCCCGACCAATCTTTTAAAATAGAACAAAACGCAAACCAGGGATCTTAAAATGTGCTCAGAGGTGTGAGGGGTGGGGAGCCAGGGGCACTGCTGCAACCTGCCTACCTCTCACCCTGAGGCACACTTCCCTGTCTGGGGCTTCACTTCCAGCTTCAGACTGGAGGGGCAGTGACACACCCCTTCCTGTCCCCACTCCCACCCACCCCCATCAAGAGGAAGCCTGGCCACGCTGCCCAGGCAGGGAGAAGGAAGGCCACAGAGCTCCATGTCCAGGCTGCTGGGCCACCCTGCATGTCAGCATTGTCACAGCACTTCTCACTCTGCAGAACACGGGCAATGCAGCTGAGTGTGATACCAAACCAAGAAGGACCCTGGGGCACCGAGAGATGCTGCATGTCTCTGCCTACTAAAGCAAGAGTCCCTGGAGCAAGATTTGGCTTTAGGGACAGACGTAAGCAGTGCTATAATCGCAGTAATCACTGCTTCCATCATGGAGCTCCTACTACGTGCCAGGCAGCAGCATGCCATGCTTCATTATGAC